ACACACACCCCATATCCTCAATTCCTTGTTTGCCACATTAGGATTTCCCTGCTATGTTTAAACTGGCAGCCATTCAGAAAATAGCTGTGCTGGAAAACCTTAGCGCTGTAAATTAGTCTCAAGTAGGTGTCTCACTGGGCCAGATTCAGCACAGAGACTTAATCTGCAACTAGTTTCCACACACTGAAATTAAACTGAAAAGGCCTAAAAGCCACGTTCACAAATAATTTATGTAATTTAACTCACCTCCCTTGCAGTGCTGAGATTTAGGAACATTTGCAGAGTTTTTTGGTTTTTAATTTATTGCTTCCTGCATGGTCACTTTAAAAAAAAAAAATCCAGCTGTATATCATCACTCTGCAGACTTCAGAGAAAGTGAAAGAAACTATGTGGTTCACAATCAACATTCACCATGGGTAACGGGTACTGATTTACTTGCCACAGACTTCCAGTTTTGAATTATTCACTACGTTGCAGTGGTAAGAGAGTTGAGCTTCCAAACTCTTAATTAAGGTCACCAATAAAGAGGGAAAAATTCTGCAGGATCTCAAGTAGCTGTGCAGAAAATCTTATGGTAAGTGAAACACATTTAGTAATTCAGAGACATTCAAGCTTGACCTAAGGGAAAGCTGAAGCAGTTACAGCTTGAAATAACTTCATATAAAACTGGCCACAGTCAAACCATTTTCTCCATTCTGGAAGACTCCAAGAAACAATCAGTACTCAAAATGGTTCTATCTAACTTTTTTAATGTGCCTGCAGTTAAAAATGAAAGGTTTCATTCAAGTCAGGGATAGTGTAGTGCAGAAAGGACTGGCTAACTGATGCTAACATAGGATCATAGAATATCTTGGGTTCAAAGGGACATCAAGGATCATCAAGTTCCAAGCCCCTAATCACAGAACCATAGAATATTCATGAGATATTGTGACCCATGAGAGTCACTCTGCCATCAGTCCTCCCCTCAGCTCCTCTGCTCTGGGCTCATGAAACCCAGGGGCCTCAGGAACTCATGTGTCTTGCCTTCTGGACCTTTCACCATCTTTGTAGACCACCTTTGTACACTCTAATAGTTTTATGTCCTTGTCTTGTGATGCCCAAAACTGCATGCAATACTTGAGGTGAGGCTGCACCAATGTGGAGTAGAGCAAGAGTGGCAGCATCCTCTCTGAGAACTGTTCTGTATCAAGAAATTTTAACCTAAACCACACAACTGCGCTTTAAACACATCTTTGGCCACTTACAATTCTCTCCTGTGTTTTCCCCTACGATGCTTGAAACCCTGATGTTTCTGATATCCAAGGGAAAGGATGCTAGTGTTTTCAGTGTGCTAGGATTTTACCCACTATGTAAAAGGTTACATATGTGTTTTGGGGAGTCCGCTGAGAGCAGACAAAGAAAACCAAGCAACCCTCAAGCAAAGGATGGGAAAGAAACCAAAGGTGAAATTATTTATTTGGAATCCATCCAAAGACAGCTAAAGAAAGCCATAGAATCATTAAAAAAACAAAAACAAACAAAAAAAACAACAAAAAAACACCACCAACAACAAAAAGTACCCGCTACTGTATTCCTATCCATTATAAATCCAAATCTTACAAAAATTAGAATATTAACTGTCACATTAAAATTTATGAATGTAGAAGAACCCTGAAATGCACATTGCTTGCCCTGTTCCTTCAATTAACCAAACATGAGTGCAAAAAGACTATCACCCAGAAGTGCTCAGCTATTTTCCACTGAAACGCTCTGCCGTTGCTCTTTGCTGCTCATCATTAAAGCATCAAAAACCTTCACCTATACATAAAATGTTCTCCCTTTTCTTGAAATTGAGTTCTGCAAAGTCCTATGCTCCTGTGTGTCTGCAATCTCAATACTAATACTACCACTACTACTACTAATAATAATAAGGAGCAACAATAACAGCAAAACAGCTTTACTCTCAAAACTGGCAATGTTTAACGACAGCTTCCGTACACTGTACAGCTACACCTACCACTTTCTGGTAAGGCAAAATTAATTCTTACTCTTGTGGCCTATTATTGGCTGCAAGATCTTCTACGTCTATTGGCCCTGAACGAAAAATGAAACTTCCAGCAGATTGAAGATACACCTGGGTAATCAAGACCTTGCACACAATTGCACAAATACTCAAACTCCCTTTCTGTTGAAAGCTTGGGAACATTCAGGAACCAGGAAACAGATTAGATGTTTAAATAATTTATTTTAAACAGTGTCATTTTTAATATATTGTCTGAATAAATACTTCAATCTATATCACACCATCAAAGAGTATCAAATATGAAAAATGTAGATCTCTGGCCAAGTCATGTTAACGCTCCGAGATTAACAGATTTCTTTAATATAATAAATATTTCAGAACGTGGAACTAGCTTAATAATCGTCTTCTTAAAGAGTGGGGCTTTTTTAATCCACTAAGTCAAACAAGGCCATTTCCAATAGTGTGAGATGTCTTTAGGAAAGAGAGATTACATTGGCTTCCAAGATCTGGTTAGCCATATATGTTATCCAGTGCAAACATAGTCTTGACAAAATTTTGAAAGCAATGATGTGGTCATCCACAAATTAATAACTATAAGTGTCAAGCTAATTTAGTGAATTAACTCAAGCTAAAGTGCAAAGATATATAGAGGCTGAAGTTACGCCTTGTTACTTTGGCTAACAATATGATATCCAGCACACTTCATTTTTAATTACCAAGAGTACATTTTGGAGATTTTATTCAATAAAAAGTTAATGAGAAGATAAAAATGTTATATTAAATCAACTCTACTCCACCAAACACTTCACTTTTCTTCCCCTGTACTATGCTAAGAAGCAGTTCAGGCCATCTGTTAATGTAATTATCAGGCATTTCATTACACCCCTTTTTTGATAAGGCACTTCCACTAAGTAAATACTTCTCTCTTAGATGTTTCTTTCTTTGTCTTGTACTGTCATAGCTAGGGATTAGCAACTTCTAAAGGGACTGCAATAAGAAAACCATATAAAATGTGGTATAGCATGATGTCCTTGATTAGGCACAGTAAAAAGAGGAAATTAAGGATGAGAGTCACAGCTTGCTACTCTATATTCAATTAGATCTGTCTCATATGTGGCTAAGGTTCATGCAGGATGTGCAGTTATCTAATACAGCCTTATCCTGGCAGCAGAAGAATTAGAATGCAAAACATAACTTAAAACAGCCTCTGGCAATATTTTGTCTTTTGGTTGTGACATCTTCAGCAGATTTAAAACAGCACTCATCAGATTGTATCCCACGTTGAAATTCCAAATTCATATTCTGAAACTCAATGCAGCTTTTAAAATGCTTAATGATGTGAGAATTGAATATTGTGTGACTGAAGAGAACAAGTAGAAAAGGACTTTGATCCTATACAAATACATGTACAAAAAACTAACAGAAAAATAAATGCTATATTCAAACACAACATTCTAAAAGTGAGGTCTGTTCTGTGGTGAACAAAAAACAGACCAGTAGCTCAACTAATAGATCAATAATATGCTCAAGGTATGTGATGCTCAGGTACACGACAATGACAATGAATCTTGCACGTCTCCCTTCTCTTATGTGATATGGTTTTAGTGGAGATTATGAAATTTTGTCAGTTTTATCCTACTAACAGTAATCATCATCTTTCTTTCCAGTTTGCAGAACTTCCTGATGAGAAACGCTGCAGAGTATAGCACAAAGCCAAGTCATACACAGATTAAAATACTTCTCTTCCTACACTCTTCCAATTGATGCTATTTTTTTATCCAGACATATCCTTAAAAAGCCTTCTCTTTCACTGATGATAGTCCAGGTACTTCAACAACAAGCTGAACTGCAACTTGAAATAAACAATCTCTACATCTGAAAGGTTTCAAATTGCTTCCTGCTGAAATCTAGCTAACTGTACTGCAAAATGTTACTATTTTTGACTTCTTATATTCTTTTCCTGCAATTATCCACTGTCATAAAGAGTGCTGCCACAGACCAAAGCTTGTTTCTGGATCTTCAGTATGCATTCTGTACTTGTACACCAGTAGACTCCTAGTCTACCTAGTCTACTGCAAGGAGGAAGGAGTTCAATTCCTGCTGCTTTTCCCATGGTATAAGAAATATCCTTTTATATCATCATTGTTAAACTGTAGAGTTGCCAGCAATTGGAATCATAGAATCACTAAGGTTGGAAAAGACCTCCAAGACCATCTAGTCCAAAATTCTACCTACCACCAGTATTTCCCCACTAAACCATGTCCCTTAGCACAACATCTAAATGTTTCTTGAACACTTGCAGGGACAGAGCTTCCACCACCTCCCTGGGCAGTCTGTTCCAGAGCCTAACCACTCTTTTGGAGAATTTTTCCTAATATCCAACCTGAAACTCCCCTGGTGCAACTTGAGAACGTTCTCCCTTGTCCTATAACTAGTCACGTGAGAAAAGAGGCTGACCCCCACCTTACCACAACCACCTTTCAGGCAGTTGTAGAAAGCAATAAGGTCTCCCCTGAGCCTTCTCCAGACAACAATCCCAGTTGCCTCAGCTGCTCCCCATAAGACTTGTCCTCATGACCCCTCACACCTTTGTTGCCATTCTCTGAACATGCTCATGGGCCTCAATGTCCTCCTCGTAGTAAGGGGCCCAAAACCAAATACAGCACTAGACCTCACCAGAACTGAGTACAGGGAGATGATCACCTCCCTGCTCCTTCTGGACCTAGGCTCACTGCTGGCTCATGTTCAGCTGAACATCGACCAACACCCCTGAGTTCAATACCCCAGGTTTTTTCTTCCTTCCCCACTTCTGCCTCTGTTATAATAAATTTTCTGCCAGTGTTATTTTCAATAAAGAAAATAATAATATACTCAAAAGAGAACATGATATTGTGCAATAAGCTGAAGGGAGTGTGGAATCTTCATTCATTTCAACACTATCCACTTAACAAACAACACTGAAAAGTCAGCTAAACACTTTCAGAAATGACATACTTACCCTTCAGTTTGAGGTCCACGTTGTGCCGCAGCCAAGGATATACACCATAGTTTGACATGTCTTCGGGAATAGGGTTGTTATGTATCCAGCCATCACATGCAAATCGATAAAAGTTGTCACAAGGATCTACAGATTGATTTATCTTGCTTAAGATGGCAGCGGCTGTAAAAAAGGATACCGCATAAATATTATGGTACTTTTTTTACCTAAACTGATAATTCTGTGAGACCAAAATCGAGAAATGATGATTAATCAGTTTCTGTGATGTGATGCTGCTTACTTGCAGCTAACTGTGGCTATTCTAGGACTGATGAATGTCCTGATCTCTGCTCTTTCTAAAACAGCAGCAAGAATAACACCCAGCTTCTCTAGCATCTAACAATGCTTACATAACAAGTGGGAAAAGACAAAATATCTATTCAATGCTTGCTCAACTGATTTAAGAGCAATGACCACCAAACCTACAGGAAAGTGACCTGCTGGGGCCAGACACCTGAATACAGACTCTTCGCTGTTGCTGTGATGGAATTACATACCTGAGGAATAGTAATGATATGCATCAAACAAATTAGCTTACAAAAAATTAGGCACTGTTTAGCTCAGTAGTTGCAAAACACATCTAGTTATGATTTGCTGTTCACTGCGAGATATAAGTGTAGTATTTTCTGCTCGTTTCTGTGACTACCTCCCCAACAGTTGCTACTGCAGGTGAGACTCATTAGAAAGAGATGAGTCTAACATGCTTGATAAAAATAACTTCTCTGTGTGTAAACAAATGATCACACATTATAGAGATTATGGCATAAATCTATGTGAGTAAAGTAAGAGAGAATATGAAGATACTTGACGTTTTCTTCCTAAATAACCATGTGTTTTGAGGCTTATAGCAATAGTTAAATAGAAAAATGTATTTCCTATCAGAACATCTGATACTTTTACAGACTTTATAGTACTGTTTCTATCATTCAGTATTTTTGTGTAGAATACTTTCTATGATATTTCTATGTCTCAACTGTAGTTTCACTTCTCATGCTAGAAACTCTGAAGCTGACTGCACTGAATAATTTTTGGTCTGCTATGTATAGAGTCTGTGTATGTAGCCCCACAGAATTTTGTCAGGATTTCAAATGCAAGTGTTGTTTTAATGTGGTTCAGAATGGAAATAAATATTCTTAGAAGTTCACACAATATCCACTTTGTTTCAAATGAAATGAATCTAGGGCCAGGTTTCCAGATGTGGTAACAATTGTTTGATCTTTGCTCTCACTGCATTCAATGAAAGACTCTCACTGATTTAGAGGGAGTAAAGCTGTCAAAATGATGAGAACAAAATGAGACTTAGGTCCTACCAAACCTGATCTCTTTAGCTCACATTTCATACTACCAGATGTCCCAGTTCCATGAGGTTTACAACATGTGTACCTGAGTGAGGAAGAGCCTACTGATATAGAAGTAGTTTCAGATTTTGAGCCATAGTTCATATTGCAGTCATTCACATGTATGTAAGATCTGACCCTAAAACATTTCTGTGCAGAATTCATTTGAATATTTTCTGATTACTGAGATGGAACAAAAAAAAGGTTTGAGACAATCAATGTTTGGTTCCTCTGATAAAAAATTGAAACAAACCCAACAGGAAACTTTGGTTAACCTGGATAGAATAGAACTAAAGCAATTAAAAACCAGGAGTTGACTTGCAGAAAATATACTCAGATCAGCAGTGATTTAGACAAATATCTTTTTTTAAAATGTACTTATTTTTTACCCTAATTATTAATTAAACATCGTAAGTGAAAAAGAAATATGGAAAAACAATATAAATATCCCATTAACCTACTGTGATCATGATGTAATGGATAGGAGACAGTTTTTGCTTACCAGCTTCAATGCATTCTGCAGTCAAACAGTACTGTTGCTTTGGATGAAATTTTATAAGACCTTGGCTAACTGCAAAATAGAAAACCATAATGAGATCGTTTGCCATTGATTTTGACCATTTGAGACAAATACTGTATGCTTGATTGTTCAAATGTCAGTGCAAGCACTGGCCAAATGCATCTCTAGCCACAGTGATTTACAACACTTATAACGTACATTAGGTAACTACTGCATCTCCTAAAAATTATATAGGGTGCTCCCAAAGTAATTCCTCTTATTTGTCTCCACGCAAATGACAACAGATACAAAGAGCACAATAGCACTATTTGATAAAGCAAATCATCAGATACCAAACACTATTTTTCATCACAGTTACCACCATTAGATATGCACTTTTTGCTAGTGATGAAAAAGAGCCTTCATGACATGCTCATAAGAGTCCGCATGGCCCTCCAGATTGTGGTTTGTCTTTCACATTGCTGCCACCACTGCTGAAATAAACAACCCACCCCTTACTGTGCCCATATCCACTGTTTGGTCTCCAGAAATACTCAGCAAGTGTTGATGAATGTCAATGTGTGCCAGTTTTTCCGCATTAAGGAATTCAGTGACACACTTCTGCTTCATCCACACGTCCACGTCAGATGACATTGTATCAGACAGCCCCTCTGCTGTCATCTATCACACAGCAACAAAATTTGATGGAATATTGGTGGGAAGGTTCAATCTCTACTGCCATACCACCAACATCTGCCTCTGACATGTAGGCCAAAATAATAAAATGAGAGACATTAATTTTGGAGCTGCCCTCTGATTCCTCAACTTCATCTATCTTTGCTCTCAGGCAACATGGAATAAGAATACTCCACGGCACATAGTGCATTTGCCCAGTGCCTGGGCAGTGAGCACCACCACAGTAGAAGCAATCCATCCTCATTGATGGTCTCTGAACATGGAGCTACCTAGCCATCTTCTGCAGGACTTTCCCTGCTGCAGCTCTCTGCAGCAGCACTGCACTGCCTGGCTCCACTGGCATCTTTGGTGTCCTTTCACTATTGTTTGGAATAAGCTAAATTGGCAATGACTGCAGAAAAAACCCTGGTTTATAAGCCGGAGTGCAGTGTCTGCACGAACTGGCCTCTGAAGGCACTGGACGTTTATTCACATCCAAAAGCTTCACTGACAAGAGCTATGGAATACTCAGTTAATTTTGGTCCCCTTGCAAAAATGTGCATTTTCACAGACATTGAAATTTAAATATGATTGCTTATTTGAGACACTCCTGTCAGGCAGCAAATTTGCAGATAATTCATTCTTGGGATGAAGAGTCCCCAGGGGCAGATGAAATAAGATTCAGTAGATGTGCTCAGAAGAAATAAAGAAATATCTCACTATCTCCTTTTTTTTTTTTTTTTTTAATAACTCAATCCGTAGCAAACAAAAACAGAAACAGAAGCAAAACGGTATGCAACTACTTCAGGGTGTTATGATGATGGTTATAAAGTTCTCTTGTAGTTCAAAAAGAATAGGAAGATGTGAGATGGTAGTCCAGCACATGAAAATTTTAATGTTAAAAAAAACCCTGAAGGCTAGAACTTCATACCTTATTCATTTCTTAGTGACTACTGAAGATTGCAATAGACTAGTGAAAAACAACATCTCAGAAACTACTTCTAGGTAATCCAGCAATTAGCCAAGAAAAACACTAGGTTTTGAAACAAAGAAAGATTGTAATCAGAATCACAATACTGAGGAACAGGAGAAAACAGAGAAGAGTAGGTTTCCAGAAGGCAATTTTGAGCTATGTAAACTACGAATAACGGATAATGTGTCTATTACTGAATAGTTCTCCAAAGGCATCACACTCCACCCAATTCATGGGGATTTGCTTTTTCCCTCTTGAAAGCTAATCTTTTAGAACTCATCCAGGTCTTGAAGGTTTGCTAGATTTTTTTCTTAACAAAGTAGAAAAAAGAGAGAAATTCCCAGATACTCTTTGCGCTTGGTGTGAAATAAAGGAGAATGAAAATGTGTCAGCAAAGATAATTCAAAGCAGCCCTCATGGTTCTGATAGTACAGAAAAGAGGAAGGGGTTGTCAGGGGATTTGGCATGTCCTTTAGTGTCAATGGTACAAGCAAATAATGCCAAACAAAACTCTACGGTTCTCCCAGATCCTTCTGGGGGTTGTAGGATTTATAAGGAGAGCAAGCAAAAGAAGTAGGAGAAGGCAATGTTCTGCTTCTCAGACTGGAAAAAAAAAAATAGTGATGGGGAATTGTTTCAGGTTCATCAGAAACAACTAGTTACATGAATTAAATGAAAACTGAAGAAAAAAAGTCATCATCTGATGCCTGAAATGTTTCAGATGATGAGAAACAGTGGTTTCCTTTCTGTTTGACAAAGCTAAGAAGGAGTTAAACACAAACTTACAAAAAAAAAAAAAATGAAACACTAGAGCATTTCATTGACAAAATGTTAGAATAGTTTAATCATTTTCCATTGCCCTTTTGATTGAAATCTTCTGAAAATTTCCAAACAAATTCTGAAAACATTTTTGTTGACCCAAGGCCAGCATTTATATTTCTTAGCCATTAGGTCAATGAAAATTTTTATACTGAATTTGATACAGAAAGGTCTTAACACACTTACAAAACAGTCCATGAGAATTATTATATTTGCTTAAGTGTTCACGTCTGGTCCGTGGATAAAGGACATAACTCTGATAATCTACTGTAGTAAACTTCTGTTGCTTTGTACGAACAATACGTAATCAAGCAACTTAGTACTAAAAAAAGAACAAGGTTTCACCATTGCTTCCTGGTGTTTAATATCATATTATTTAAGGGAAAAAATGTTATTTTTCACGTAAAGCCAATATTTTACATTACCAAGGTGAAGATCCAATTCTTATCATTATAAAGCCTTTTATTGAATGTCATGGAATGGGTTGGGATTCTTCACATACATAATAGTTACTTTTGTGCAAGTATTTGTGGAATTGATTCTACAACAGAATACTATCTGAATGAGAGCCTGCTGCTACCAGTATTCGCTAGAAAACCCAACACCATTTTCTCTGTTGTCACTATAAGTGACAACTTATCTTGTAAGTGTATCTTTCAAATAACATCATAAAAGATGGGAGGGAAGCAAAAAACTTTTCTTAGAAATTAAGTTTCCCCAAGTCCAGGAAAATTGGACTCTGAAGAAATGAGAAGTTTGTCAGAATTATTCTAAAAGAGGATCGGTCTCTTCAAGCTTTTACAGAGTATTGCTTTCTATTCACTGTCTAGTTGTTTCTGGGTGCATTTATACACATAGGTATACCCTTCCAACATCCTATATTCCAACAAAGCCAACCTACAAATGATTTCAAATCCCAGAGATAAAATAATAATGCCTTCTCTATTTTGCCAAGTAACAGCTAATAAATCTGATCAAAACATTTTAGTTTCTTCCCAGATGTACCTTGTGATTTTTGCAAAGATGCCTTTGCGATTTGTCGTAGAAAAACAGAAATATCTAAAAAATGTGCAAACATATGCATTACCCAAGTTTTCTACAGGAATTTTAGCCAATCCATAATGAAAACCAAATGAAGGATTACCCAACAGATTCCATAAAATGTATGCACTACAGATTGATTTTCAGGAAACAGAGAATTTTAGTCCACGTTTGTCACAGACTGCCAGTTTGCAATCGGCATTACCAATATTCATAATCTTACCCCTTTCTTCCCGTTCTGTGAAAGAATCCCATTCTAGCCAGTATTCATTCTAGCTCATTCAACCCAGCATTCAAATTTAAACTCAGCTTTCAATAGTTACACGAGCTCACGTTGCAGCTTCTAGCTCTAACATTTCCCACAAAAAAAAAAAAAATCTCTTTGCTGACACACTTAAAAATAAAATGGGGAAAAAGAAATGACCAGGATTGTCACCGTAACACAGTGCACGGCACAAACACTCGCATGGAGCAGCTGTGCTCGGGAGGGTTACCCTCACACCAAGCCTGGACCTTCTCACTTACCCAAAAAAAGTGTGGTGCCAAGTGCAATGGTGCCAGCCACGAACACGCCGAGGGCGATCCGCGTGGGTTTGCTGGCTGCTCTCCTGCTCGCTGGTACTGTCTCTCCTTCCATCGGAATGGGCTGGGACGGGCTCGTTCTTGAAGAAGTCTGGTTTTGCTCTGCTGCCGTTGTATCAGGAGCTCAACTACTCGCAAGCCGCATCCCTCAGCTCTCCTCCTTCTCTCTTCTATTTACAACTTCAGGTTTCTGTCGTGAACCATTTCCTAGGCACTTCCTGCTCTCTCCCCCTCAAAGCAAAATCATGCACTCGTAAAATAGTGGCTGCCTTCCGTGCTTCCCTCTGACCAGGACTAGGGAAGGCAAGCAGTGACCACTCTATTTACAGTTCCTCTGCCTGTAAAGTTTCTACGAACCAATCACTCAGCAGTCCCCTTTATCAAGAGTTCAGAGCACGAGGATTTCACAACGTTGCCGAACAGATGTTTTAGCTACTCTAACATATAGCCGTAGAGCCTTTACAATCAAAGCAGGATTTCTGACAACTTCTACAAACACAGGACTGATTGAAGGTTTTCATTTTCCTTTGTGCTTATTTAAAAGGCAATTTGCTGACTAAAGCTGTTTTGTCCTAAGCCACTCTTGCTGCATTGTGTGGCTTCACCAGAAGCGAAATTCAACCAGCGGACAAATCCCTTTTTAAAGTTTCCTAAGTGCTCTTAGAATATCGTGTAGCATTTTATTTTGGGAATTTGGTATGTGATAGTCTGTGCCAAAAATCACAATCATGCAGCAAAAGCAGTAATCAGCACAACCTACAGAATAGTGCTTCTTTAAGAGCTGGATTTTTTTTTTTTTTTTATTTCCAGGCAAGGTATTTCAGTCCTTGCTGATATGCAATGAACCATAGGAGAGGAACCTATACCTCCAAGTCAAGTATCACTGTGAACTTAGTGGAAAGCATCTATTTGGCACTTAAATTTAGGAAGTGGGAGGAGAAGACTTATTTGTATGGATTTCCAAGTTTCAGGCTTAAACTTGACAATCTTCTCTCCAGGTGGCAAGGTTTCCCCCATTCAATTCATAACAAAATTTTGGAGTGAATTCTCTAATATGAACTCTCAATTTCTCCAGAGCTGGACACTCATGTAAAAGAAAGATGCAGGGAGAGACAGTGACACATCCACACTCTCAACAATTTGTGTCTGAGTTACTTCTACACTGAATTCTTATCTCAGCCAAAAATAACTCTGATTTAAAAACAAAACAAAAACAAAAGATATAAGGAGAGAAGACAGGCAAGGTATATGTGATGGCAGTTACCAGCCTGGGAAACAAATAAACAAACAAAAAAAGAGATTAAGTATTGTGAGTGATTGCACACAGGTTTACCAGAATCCCAGATGGGCATAAATGGAAAACTCACTCCATCTACAAGAAGATTTGGATTTGGAAATTTCTCCAAGTCTTCTACATCCTGCCTGGGGTCATGCAGAGAAAACACTCATTGATGACCCTTGTTCCCATTCAACAGGATGCAGAAGGCCATTCTTATCTGTGCTCAGCCCAGACAAGGAAGAATGCATTTGTTTCTTTTCACCTGCCTGCTTGTCCAGTATTTATCACATGATATCCAACAGCTGAGAAAGAAGAGGGAAATGACGGTGTCAGGGAACGAAGAAAATCATATTCCCACCTGTAAAGTCTTCCGTTTAATGTGTGAATGACTCCAAATGCATGAGCAGATCTTTGGTTTATAAACAATCACTGATACTACTCTGTCACCAGCACAATTGAGAATATAATTTTAAGTGACATCGGTGCTATTGAGACTTCATGTACAAATCACTACAAGTCTCAGAGGGACTGTTAAAAGGTCATGGTGATGACACAGAAAATGCATGGACATGTTGCGATCTCACCATGTGATCAACTTCACCCATTATCCAAACACCAAGTAGACTTCAATAGGATACACTTGGCAAGAATTTACGTTTGTTCTTGTGAGTTTCCTTCAATGTCAGAATTAAACCACTGATATTGAAAATACTAAACAGTTATGAGACAGAGAATACCTTCCAACATCTTTATATCCTAACTGATCAACACTAAATTATCATATCCTTTTCACTCAGATTCCCTCTTACTTAAAGACTTAAAATCTGGTATTCTAGAGAAGTAAATACTTACAGACTAGCATGCGCTGAATGAGTATCATGCTGTATTAGTGTTCCACTGACAGCATTTTGTTTCAAGGTAAGATCTCTTCCTAGGACAACACCAGACCATAAATCAAGAATAGCTTTCAGTGTTGCAAAGCAGAAACAAGTTATTTTCCAGCTCTCCCTGGGAGACTGGGAAGCAGATAAAGGGGAGAGGCTGGACAATTCAGTCTCCTTTTCCAAATAGGAGCCTTAGCCAAAGCAATGTTGAAGGCAATGAGAGCATGGAGTAATCCTGACAAGAACTATCCAGCTCCAACTACAGAATGCCCTGGGATAGTCAGACCCAGGCAGTGCATGATCCTTCTGGCAAGGAGTCACAAATCAGCTGCCAGCAGCCAAATGACTTCTCTAAGCTGGGGTTTGTGGGCTTATTTACAATGTGGCATCATGTCAGTGTTCTTCCTTCTGGTTAAAAGAGCCTGGATGCTGTCAGTATCTTATTTTGGTTTCTCCAGCATGTAAAGAACTACAAAATTAGAGATAAAGCACAAACAGCTGCATAGAACAGCTGCAGAGATCCATTTCTGGCAGCAGTTGAAAAAGGTGTGTGGAGCACATATGAATCAGCTTCTGATACTGCTGATCAGTAACAGAAGTTTAACATTGCATTTGAGACACTTTCCTGATATGCGCCAGGATTTGGTTGCCCTGCTCATCATAAGCACAGAAGCAATTTGGCAGGTACCCAGTATGCACCATGCTTAAAGCTGCTAGAACAGCTAACAGGACTCCTGGTGATTATAGTGCAATAAGGTATTTAATGAGGCTGTGCGTAGACTCTGATAAACATTCATAAAAAATTGAATGGACATAGGAAAATATCCAGTATTTAAATACGGCACACTCTGAATCACTATTCTTTCACTCAGAATTGCCTCTGACCAAGATCCCACTCAAACAATGGGATCACTTTGGCACTTAGAACAGTGCTAGAACAATGTACAAACATTTCCACTCAAAACTTTACATGAAAGAGCTGGCAGACCATTCGGAACATGCTCCAGGCTGAACCACAGCAGAAGCATTCCAATGCCCAGAAGTTTGTCTACATGCATAATAAACGTGTGCACACATATGCGTATGGCTGCTCACTCCCGAACACAAGTATTTGCACATCACCTCACTGTTGTATGAGTAAATGCAATTCTCACGTCCATGGATCATGCTAGTCAGGAAGGGTGCCGATCAGAGCTGACATTGAATGATTGAGATTGAACTACTTTCCATGTTTAAGGTTAAATTCCCATTTCTTGAGGCTTGATTATCAGACACCTTCAATAAACATGTAAAATACCACATTTTGCCTATGTTTCACTGAAAACAATAGAAACCGGAGTTATGTGGGCTGTCACTGAATGCTGCTGGAACCACAAAAGAGCCTGAAGTTGGTACATGTTCAGCCCAAGCTTGCAGAAAGACTTGTTCGGACTCACTGGAAAATATTTTGTCCTTCTTTAAATGTATTGAAACAATTTCTGTACTTTTTATGAAGGTGGAAAAATCAGTTCAGATTTAAAGTTTAAAAAAAAAAAAGAACAAAACACATGGGAAACATAAGACCCATAGGGATTGGAACAGACCTCTGGAGATCACCTAGCCCAAGCACTTGCTAAAGCAGGTTCCCTACAGCAAGTCACACAAGAAAGTGTCCAGATAGGTCTTGAGTACCTCCAGAGCAGGAGGCTCCATCGCCTCTCTTGGCAGCCTGTTCCATGGCTCTGTCACTCTGACAGAGGAGTTCTTCCTTGTGTTAGTAGGGAACTTTCTGTGTTGCACTTTGTGCCCATTGCTCCTCGTTCTGTTGTTGCCGATGTTGGTCACAGAGGGCATTTCCTCACACGCTGTCCTCATGGTACACATTCAGGGCTTGCCCCTCAGAGGCAAAGGTTGCCTCAGAGGAATAAGTTAAAATTGACAGAGGCATCTCGCAGGCAGAACATCACAGCTTTGATGGTGCCTATCAAGCATGTTTAGCAAACAGTCATACCTCACTTTTGGAGACAGAACCACTCAGGCAGATGCAGATTGAGTGCCATCAGCAGAACAGCACACAGCAGAGCCTGTGAAGTTACAGTGTAGTGTGAGGTCTATGCTGGCTTTGTAGCATGGGGGTCAAAGGACATGCTGTATTTCATTTCATTTCATTTCATTTCAGGTGTTTCATCATGGAGACTTGAATTGTTTTCTTAACTACACAGTTCTTGCAACCAGAACTGGCTGACTGGGCTGTAAGTACATACACTGTGCTTGAGAAAAAAACAGTGCATTGCATCTGAAGACAGCTTGACCACTTGTCCTTAGATCTCTGAACCTTACAAATGACACTCCTGGCTACAAAAATCCCAAAATTTCCATGCTGCAGCCATGAGCAGCCATACTTCAGGACAAACTGTTGCTTGATTCATCTCAGAGAGACAACTGGAAATATATAACTCTATTGTTTTCCACTGGTGCAGTCACATCACAGAGGGCCTCAGTGCAGCTGTGAGAATGTGGGTTCATTAATTAATACCCAGTACAGAGTCAACAGACTCTGAACACTGCTGGTGGTAAGCTTTTCTAGAAAAAAAATCTTCCATACAACCGCAAACGTGGAGGAAACACCCTGCAAAGCAGAAAAAATTGTTCTCCTACAGTTCTAATTCCCCAAATCATTTTCTTCTTATTATTACTGTTATTATTATTCTAAGTAGATTAAGCTGTTCTTCTTACTCTAAGAAGAACTTGCTCTTGTTGCAGGAAACATTGCTTTCTTAGACCGAAAGGTGCTTGTAACGAGCCCAAACAGCAACTTGCTTTGAAAACCAACATCTGGGATGATTAAAGTTAAACCACTCAAGTTTGCAAGCTTTCTGAGAGCTGCTTTTGAAAAGGCACTTTAATGAAACAATGCATATGCTCTCAAGCAGAAAGGGGAATCGCTTTAGGCCTTCCTGCAATTTTTCTTCAAGAAGCAGATTAAATTATAGCTAAACAAAAAATACTTCTCTTAAAGGTCATGTTCACACTATTCATAAGTGTTTTTATGGATATCCATCACTTCTGCATACACTCCTCATCTGTCACCCCAAGTTACAGATTAAATATGGGGTCCATTCCCACTGTTAACACTGCTAACAGAGAATGCAGAAAGGCATGGTAGCTGGCAATTAAAAAATA